AATAATTAATATTTAATAACTAATAATTATTGATGTTTATAATTTAAAATATTTAATTTATTTAATTAAAACTAATAATTGATAACTATTTTTAATATATCAAAACAAATGGGCTGTAGTTACTTCGTATACAATGGAGAAATGTGTCAAAATCTTACACCGTGGCCTAGCGTGAAGATAAGCCCAGCTCAGATGTTGTCCAATTCATCTTCGGTACTATTAAATACATGGTGCAAGAGTGGCGTGTATTTACAAGGAGGCATGTTAGCTGGAGGTCCCATAACACTTGTTTCAGCAGTGTCTCCATTTTTCACTATAAAAACGGTATCCATTCCCCAGCTAAAATGCCTTTCAAAATGGCAATGCATAAGCCAAACCCCTGTCAAAAAATTCACAGTATCCAGTGTCAGTGGCATCATTTTTACAACTTTGATTCCGGAGTTAAGGACATGATTCAAATATCTAAACTAAGCAACAATTAGCTTATCAGAAACTATTTTTCCAGTCCCGAACTGGCTGTTTTTCTTCAGATAGTCAGCAACTGAAAAATTAGTTTCCCAAAATGAAAATTGTTATGTATTTACTATAATCTTATAAGATAACGTTTTGTACCAGGATTGTCAGCTCTGAATCTAACTGTTGCCCATCCATTCTTTGGAACCACAATTGTATTAGCTCGAGGTGGATCAAATAAGTTATATGACGATGTAGAAGTGTCGTTTTTGTAAATACCTACACCTGATCCAATCAGGTAAAATTTAAACCCATGCAAATGCATTGGGTGATCCTCTCCTCCATAAATGACATTAGTCCCTTGGAAAATTATCTCCACTGACTCATTATAATTCAACACCTTCACTTTTGTTGCCTGTTCGGTATATGTGTAATTTGATGTCGTCAGGTCGTCGGCTGTGAAGTTAAAAAACACAGGCGGTATGTCTGGGAAGTCTGTTTTGTAGATCCCACTTATGTTCCTAAAACAGAGGTTTCAAAAAATTAAATTAATTTTGGAATTAAGATCAGAAGTTTAAATCTATGTAATAACTTAAAAAAAATATATGTTGAGGAATTGATGAATTTTATGCTGGTTGCGGTACCTGTAATATGCTTCAAGAATATCAATTGCAGGATTAACAAAACTAATATTGTTTAAGCTTGCCAAGACCCTGTAACCATCTGGCCCTGCACAGGAGTCATTTGGACAGGGATTCAGGTTGGCCGAAACTGTTATAAACATTCTGGTATCAACTTCCATTGGAACCTCAATGGGATGTTCTTCACTTGCCAAGCTCCTTAACCGTTCAACAAACGCCCGTGCAGACGCCATATCAGCGTAATCTGGAACAAACACCGGAAAGTAAGGTGCTTTCTGAGTGTAGTTGCCTGTGTATTGGAAAATTGCTGAAGCAGTGCTGTTGTCGAAGTCAGTCCCTACTGCATCATAGTAAGGAGTAGCAATCATGTAGTATTCCCCTGGTTTCCGGTTTGCTGTGACTAGGATATCCAAGGTTTGTCCAGTAGAAATGAAAATGTAGTCTGTAGTAACAGGTTTGACATATCCGGCATCCCATCCTACAACAGTCTGGTTGTGACCCGCTATCATAAAGAAAAGATCTCTGTTCATCACTGCGTTTACCAGGCGAAGAAGGTAAGTCTTGCCATACTCAAAGTTCATGCGGATTGTGGACTCTGCAGCATTAAGGAGCTCTTCAATAGTATATGGAATCATGAAACACACAGCATAGCAATCCAGGGAATTGAATTGATATGAATATACCTTTGGAGCAGTCTTTGAAATCTCCCGGTTGGCCATTGATGGTGTAAGCATTAGATATTAAAGATTTATCAGTTCCTGTTTTGAGTATATAATCGACCATGGAGTTCACATCTTTGTTGTACCATGAAGCTGGCAAGGATCACAAAAAAAGAGTGAAATTTCACATTCGATTATTTGAATTTAATTGAAAATAATGAAAAATATTGCAATGATTTTCTTACAAAAAACGATGACTTCCTCTCCATCCGGTTCTGGAAATGGATAAGTTTTTCCAGGAGCAGGTTTGATAACAATGGCACCATGGATGGAAGAGCGCGTCCAATCACTATGAGCATGCCACCATAAGGTTCCTTCTTCAGTAGTAAACTCAACTTGGTAAGTGAAGTTTGTTCCAGGGTTGATGGGACATTGTGTGATATATTCAGGGCCATCTGACCACGGATTCCTTGGCTGCATCACTCCATGCCTACAAGTTAACCAGTCATAAAAAATATCAAACTACCAAAACATCAAAAATGGAAAAAACATGCATCACCAGAATGATTCAATTCGTTACCAATGGATCGTGAAACCATAATTCCCTTGATTGTGAACGTTGACATAGATAGTATCGCCAGCGTTAACATAAATTGTTGGTCCTGGAAAACTGCCATTGACAGTTAGCATGCTCTTGGTATTACATAGCCTCGTGAAATTGCTCTCTTTCAACTAAAACAAATAAAATGCAGTATGACAATTAGATTAAAGCAGATGGACTGATGTATTGAATTTGGAGATGGATACGACAAAGGATATATTCAAGAGAAAGTTACTTACAACAAAATCATAGTATTTTGGGGTGGCTAGGGCTTGAGCAATAATACATTGAATTACCAAAGAAATTGACAAGAGCACTCGCACTGCTATGTTCTTCATTCCCATACCTTACTAGAGTAAAAAGAAGGAAAAGTCTGTTGAAACTGATATTAGGAATAGTACGTGTTCGATTATTGCAAGTTACATCATTGGCTTTTTAGATCTGCTGGTATATCTAACTTTCCCATAGCTCCTCCTTTGAATTGGGAACCAACAGCCAGTCTAGTTTCCACCATACTGCCTTAAACGTCAACCGCAATTCTACAATATAAATATATATATATATATATATATATATACACTGCCTTGAACGAGTTTCATCTACCACTCTACTTGCTTATTGGTAATGGCTGTCAATCTTTCAGTGATGCACGTGAATTAAAATCTTCATTTTAACAGTTTGTGGACTGCAGACAAATTAAGAATTACTATTATTTATACAATAAAGTGGTAATTATATCTCTAAGGAGATAATTCAATAATTAAAAGTTTGAGATTTTAAGTTAGAGGTTTTTAATTTTGAATCTTGAGTAAGATGAAAAGAGGAGGATTAGCTTTTCTAATATAACCCATTCGGTTATTAAAAAAAAAAATTACATTGGTATTTATTTTTAATAGGTTAAAATCTCATTTTGATCTTTATACTTAAACAAAAAGTTTCTTTTTAGCTTATCTACTTAAAAAAATCTCTTTTTAATTCTTAAAGTTTATTTTTGACTCCTTTTTAGTCTTTTCGTTATCTTTTTGTAAATGTGACGCATTATATGATGGAAATTCCAAAATAGATAAACTAAAAAAGTGTTTTTTTTTTTAAAATTGTGGGACCAAAAACAGGTCTTTTTATTCCATTTACTTTGAATTTTCAATCATTTAACATGTCATTTGAATAAAAAACTAATAAAAAGACTAAAAATAGGACAAATAATAAATTTTAGGGATTAAAATGGGGTTTCCTTAAGTAGAGGGAGTAAAAAAGACTTTTTTACATAAGTAAAGGGACCAAAATGAGATTTTAAACTTTTTAATATATTAAAAGGTAAGTAACAAACTTTTCTTATAAGCTCGAGTAGTTGAGGGGCTTATATATTATGCCCTGGGTTTAAGTTTAATAGACTTAGGTTTTCTTATATAATAAAATAGAGATATAATAATAAATTGATAAAATTTTATATTTATTTTTCATTAATTATTACTTAAATAAATTTTTTTAGTACATATTTAATATATATTGTAATTATTTTTTAAAAATAAAAATAAAAACAAAAATAAAGGTATTAAAATGACATTAAAAAAATGAGAAACTAAATTTAAAGTCTTAAATTAAAAATTAGGTTTACTAATGAAGAGAGTCCTATGCAACTAGTTCACAGACTTAATTCTTATCCTTCTATCCCAAGAGCTTAAAAATAAGGGTTTATATATCATGTATATGTAATAAATGTATTTTTATATAATTAATTTATTTTTTAATTTTAAAATAATTATCAGTTTTTTATTTTGAATTTGTTTCAAATTAATTATTATTTTTTCTTTTTTAAGATAAACAAATATTTTTTCTCAACTTTAACTCTATCATTATTAATTTATTTTGATTAATTATTCTATCACAAAGAATTTCACTTTATCTTTTAGTTTTTTTTTTTCTAAATAATATAGATAAGTATATAAATGGTCTCAAAATTCTTAATTCAAAGAAAAAATAAAAAAACAATAGTTATTATGGGACAAAGAGAGTACATAAAAATCATGAAAGTTGACTTTTATTTTAACATTATTATTATTATATGAGTAGTTTTAATTGGTTAATTAATTAAATTAAAGTTAACAATTATATTTTTACATAAATTAATTACAAAAAATACAATAAAGACATTCTTAAAATATAAAATAAAAATAATAAAAATAATAGCAAAATTATTTTCTAATTACATTTAGTTGTTTAACAATGCAAATATTTAAATCTGACCTGCACTCTAGATCAAAATCTTTAAATACGCAGTGTATGAGTTCCAACAAACTCCTAACTATAATAACAAAATTATTTATAAATACAAAATGAATTTTTCTATGTTGTGCCCTATATAAATGCATTTATTATACTTTTTTAATATTAATACATATCGTAAAATTAAAAGTTGATGGTAGTTTTATTAATTGTCTAATAAAAATATTTATATGTCATAGATGTTAAAATTAATATTAATTTTTTATTTTTTTATATAAATTAATACATAAAAAATATATTTAAAATATATATTCTTAAAATACATGTTAAACAAACTTATACAAAAGTTTAACAAAATGTTAGTTTGCAATTCAACCTTTACAAACAACTCCGTTCACTATTAATGGTCAAGTTCTGAAGTCTCAACAAATCTAGAAAAGAGGTTTCACCGGCTATAGAGAATTGGAATTGCTGCCATTCAAGGAAGTGAAACGTTCGATGTCCATCCACTGGAAGATGTGCCCTTACTAACTAACAAATGGTCAGAACCTTGTGCCAGCCAGAAGCATAATTACCGTAGGTTCCCCTTCAAAAAGAAAGTTCAAATGCACCCCAAATAATTTTTCTTTTTCATTTTTTTTTCTTTTAGTTTGAGTTACACGAATTAAGGCAATTATCTGATCACGTACTTTTACTCACCCATCCGCAAATAGTTTTATTCCAACTCAAAGCCCCCTGTAAACTTACATTAAAAAAATATATACATCATTATATTATTTAGATCATTAATCATAATA